TTGTTTACATTGATTATATTTGTATACATAATATACATTATATACTTACATATACATATTATGTAAATTCGAGTTTTTTTTTTTTTATTGTATATGAAATTTTGTTATCTGTTTTATTTATTTTTATTATTGTAAACAAAATGTTTTTAATACTGTAAGCGTGTAAAATGTCAAAAAAAATATATATATAACACATATATTGGCTTTTTATGTAATTTAAATGAAAAAAAAAGTAATAAAAACAAAAATTAAAACAACAAGAAAATAATAATAATAATAAAAAAAAGGAAAAGCTTTTGAAATTTCTACGTGTATTAAAAATTTTTTTTCTATTGTTGTTGTAATTTTATTTTACTTATTATTTTTGTTTGTTTTTTTTTTTTAATATATTCGGACAATCTAATTCTAAGCTAAAAATCATACATGTATATATGTATGTATATATGCATAAGTGTGTATTTGAACATTAATAAATTGTATACTATAAGTGAAATAGTTATACGAGTAGGTATGTACATAATAAGTACAAAAAAATAAATATTTCTTTTCCTAGTTCTCTAAATAAAATTAAAAAAAAAAAAATAATAATAAGAAAATAAAAAGTTTTTTTTATAATTTGATTGACCTTGAAATGCATAGTAGTGTTGTTATTTTTCATTTTTTCTTTTCTGTTATATGTCACAATTATTTTAATATACAAGTACATAACTATATGTAGTATATAAACTGAATACATATGTACATACATATATTTTTATTCTTCTTACAATATTCTTGTTCTTATGTGATCATTTTATTATAATATTATATTTTTTCTTTCTGTTTTCATTTTTTACTATATACGTACATATTTTGCTTTATTTACTTTAAAAAAAAAATTTAAATTTTCTACATAATAAAGCAAAAAAAAAACAAAAATTAAACTTTAACATTATAATAAAAAATCTTAAAGTTTTTGAATAAATAAAATTAATTATTGAAATTTAATTATTTAAAGGAATAAAATATCAATATACAATTATAAAATTACAGAAAAAAAAAAAAACAAAATATAATAAATAAATAAATAAAACAGAAGAAATATAAAAAATATTTTTTATTATACCTGTATATGTCTCATATATATGCATATATAATTTTGTGTAACAGTGTATAACAGTTATAATTTATTCTAATAAATCTGTCAAATTAATAAAGCTGTCATCGAATTTAGATCAAACAACGTTAAAAAATATATAATATGATATAATATACAAACATTTTTTTGAAAATATTATTAAAGTATAACAATATAATAAAATAGTGAGTAACAATTTATATTGTATGTCATTCATTGACAACAAATATATATATATATGTAATTAATATAATGAAAAATAATTTCGAAATATTCGAAAAATATAATATAATATGTACAAGTGTGCATATAGTTAAAAATAAAAACAATTTAAATTATAAATTGAAAGATGTATAAAAATAAAATTTTTAATAATTCATATAAAAATTTATGAAAAAAAAATTTCAAGTATTTAATTTAATATTCAAAGAAAAAATATATTTAATAAATGTTTGCTAATAAAAAAAAATAAATTATTAAAGAAAGAAATAAAATTTCAAAAAAAAAAGTAATTAATTTAAAATATTTTTAAAAATAATAGTAATAAATTTTTTCTTTATTTGAAAATTTTAATCTATTTGAACATCAACATTGTGGTATAAATTTAATAATTTTTGCAATTAATATTTAAAATGCATTCTCCATTATAGTAAACAAAACTGCTTACATAATCAAATCGTGATAGAAAAAAAGTAAGCAAAATAAAACAAAAAAAAAAAACAAATTTAATTTTTCATATTATTCAATTTTATATTTTAAAAAGTAATAAAATTAATAATTTTTGTTTTAATGTGTTATACAAACATTATTCGATTATTATTTTAAATGAATAATCATTTTACAACTATATACATATTTAAATTTTGTAAAGTTATAATTAATGTAATTAACTATTAATTAAAAATATAACAGTTTTCTTTGTTTTATTGTTAAATTTTATATTATTTATAAAGTATGTTTTAGAAAAAAAAAAAATACTTTTCAAAAAAATTGAGTTAAAATATAAAAAACATCTTCAATCATAATAAAATAAAAAATTTCTATTATATGCAATTATAAAATCTAATCTAATAATCATAGCTTAAAAATAAATATTATATGATTTTTAAATATCATCATACATTTACTTCCTTATTTAAGTTATATAAAAATATCACAAAAATCTCTAATATTTACTCTTATTTATATTAATTATACAATTATTCAAAAATAAGTATCGTATTACAATATTACTTACATATATAATTTTTCTTAAGTGAATATTATCATTAATTTATATTATTATAATACTTATATTAATCACTACCATTATTACTTACTATTATTTAAAATAAACAAAATTAAATGACAAAAAGGATTACGATTTTCATATAAGGAATTCGCTTTACTATTAATATTATTTATATTGTATATGTATGTATGTATACGGTATTACTTGAATAATATATTCAACTTCTGCATCTATATGAATGTATATAATTCAATGGATATATGGATAACTAATCTTAAAAATTTTTGAATTTAATAAATTATATATATATATACATATATAGGATATATATAAATGCATAATTATTAATATACGTATACTAAGTTAATATTGTATAACTAAATATATTTTTTAAATCATCATACTGCATTATATATAAAAAAAAAAACATTTTAAAGGATAAGAACATTAAAAAAATAAATAAACAAAAAGGAATTTAAGCTTTATATTTAAAATATATACGAACAATTAAAACAAAAAAAAAGAAGGAAATTTTTGAAAAATATTGAAAAGAAAATTTTAAAAAAAGGTAAATTTTCTTTTAAAAATAAAATGTAAATTTAATGAAATTACTAATTATAATATTAAATAAACAAATTTAATTCACTTGAGTAATTTACTCTTGTAGAACAAGATTTCTTTATTTAAATTTAAATGTCATTAAAATATAATCGTAGCTTAGAAATTGTTCATATTTAACTAAAAATGAGATAGTACATGAACGTATTCAGCAGAAACACAGAGTAATAGATATGCAATGACTCTTCCATAAAATCAAATCAGTTAATATAATTCAGCTTTATTACTTATAATTATAAAAATTTCACTATATTTCTGATAATAATTCACTAATGTTTATAAACAAATTGTATTAGCAACATTTCGTTATGAACAACCTAGTTTCCAATATGTCTTACCTTAAAGTTTTGTCTTAAGTATTAAAAATTTAAATCTGCGTTAATTAGAATTTCGAAAATAGAATTCTGAATATATTTTTTAGGAGTAATAAGTAATTAATATTTTAGTGACAATTAGTATTTAGGGATCATGCATCCAAATAACGAAACAATATTGTTGACAACTGAAAAGGTAAGTGGACAAAGGGGTTAACTAACATCTTGACGAAAATCGAGCTTTTCGGATAGAACACCATTAAATTTCTTATATTTTCAACTGTGATTACTCTTATAGCTAGAAACTTAATAGAAGATGAGATTGACAGTGCACATAATAAATAAGTAACAAAAAAATTAATAGTTTTACAATTTGTTAATTAAAAAATATAACACAATGCAAATGTAAGTTAACCTCTTTGTCCACTTACCTCTTCAATTTACAAGTTTTCTAAATCAAATTTGATTTTCTTTGCTTAATTTTATAAATTTTAGGGCATAATCCGTCAGTAATACAAGAATGTTCACATTTTTTTAATTATAATTTATTGATTTCGGAAGTAGTTTAAGAGAATAATTTCAGTATCCCAACTTTTAATTCATAATTTTGTCTCTTTTGTATATCGAAAACTTGCACATTATTCTTCTTTTATTCAATAACTTAATCAAAGTGGAAATCTAGTACAATTTGTTCTAATGTACTCACAATAGGAATTCAGCCTTAAATGTACAAAAAATTCATTACTAAAATATTTTTATATAACAATGTCTTTGACATTGAAATAAAAATATAAAGAAGAAGAGTTAGCAGTCCAATACGCATACGAAAAGAACAAAATGCAAGAAGGGCAAATCAATATTTTTCATTCTTATTTTAGAATATTTTCAATTTTCTTATGTTCTTTTGCATATTTAATGTTTTAGTTTTATTTTGCAAAGTTGTTGGACGTAAAGTATTTAAAATTTTTATACAATATAAATGTTTATTTTCACATATGTATGTATACAAATTCTGACGTGCATATGAGCCTTATTATACATACAATGCACAAACATACATATGTATATATGAGTATTTTACAAATTTTATATATGTACATATAAAATTCGAAATGTGGACGTTTTTAAATAAAAATTTCCTTATTAGACATACCAGTTATTTATAACTTTAATGAATTCAATAAATTTTTTTACAATCCTTTGAAATAGTTAAAGTTTTTCTGTTTTATAATTAGTTCAATATGCATCATAATATACTATTTATTTAATTTAAAATTTAAAAAACAATTTGTGTAGAAGTAAATCTAAAATATTTGTAAGGATAAACCTAACTATTGTATTAGGTGACGCATGTTTTTTATAAAAGGTGACGAAGAAAAATGTTAATGAAAAAGGTTTCTTAAATTTTTATTTGGCATAAAAAGAATATTCTTTTGAGAAATTGCTTGTTTTACAAGAAGTAGGCTACAAATGTTCATATATTAAAACTAGTTTGAAGTTGACCCAATTGATATACATAGTTGCCATGACTTCAAAAAAAATAATTGTAAATAAATTTCAAAAAATATTTTGTTATTTTATTTGAATTTAGTTTGCTTTTAAATTTTAAATGAACAAATATTCAAAAATCTTTATTTTTTTTTATTTTAAATTTTATAGAATTGCCTAAAAGAGTTCCATCATGCTTTAAAATTTCAACACAACACATCAATATGCATAATAATAAATTAAATATAAATTGTTTCAAACAGCTATAAAATAAAATTGTTGCAAGTAAAACATAAAATTAAATTAATAAACCTAAGAAAATATTATTTTTTAATCTCAGATAATTCTTAAAATTTAAATGTAACCAGAAAGGCTGATTAATTCTTATATTTAGCAATTAGTTTACTTTTAAAGCCATATGAATAATTTAAATAAGGATTAAGGATATTAAAATCTTAAATTAAAAAAAAGGAAACTTCGAATATATAAGAAGAAACGACTGATTTTGCGATAGAAATAAATCATATTAAAATTTAAGAAATAAGGAAATTTGATTAATAAGGTTTAAAAATTTAATTAAGAAATTGTAAAGAAATTGAAGATAAAAAAAAAGATATTTTTTGATACCATATTTTCTTCTCCAAAAATTCCAAGCAAAAAACAAAAAATATATGGAAGAAAGATCCTGTTTTTAAAATTCAATTAAAATAAAAAATCGAGAGCCAAAACAAAAAAAACAAAATTATATTAACAAAACTAAAATCAAAGAAAACAACAAAATTCTGCTTCAAAATGAAATTCGCAAATAAAATGCATTATTTAAGTGATAATTCAATATCAATTGGATCAAAAACAATTAAAATAGAACCAATAGATGATGATAATATAGCATCATCATCATCTTCAACAATTGCTTCATCATCTTCTTCATCGCCATCTAGATCTCATCATTCTACTGATGAATATCATGGTAATCATTACCATAGTAATCAACATCAGCAACACCAGCAATATCATTCATCATCTTCAAATCAACATAATCAAAATCATCATCAGCATCAACAAAGACAAAGTTATCATCAAAATCATCACCAAAATAGTCCAAAAATTATTCCAAAAATGAATTTTTATCGTCAACGACAGTCAGAATCACCACCTCATCAATTAGATAATCATCAGTCACAACAACAGCAACAACAACGTTATTCAAATAATAAACATCATAATGTTGCAAGAGAATATCATATTGATGCATCACAAGTTGAAATAACACGAAGTGGTAATAGTATTTCAATTGTAAATCGATCTGGAAATCGATGTCCTAGATCACCACCACCACTTAATATATCATCTCATAATGGTGGAACAGCTCAAATAGTAATAACTAGAGCAATACAGACATCATCAAATTCTGGGTCATTGCAATCTTCTGCAACAGCATCATCAACTACATCATCACCAACGTCATCACATCATCATGCAGAACATCATCAACAACCACAGCAAATGCATCAACAAATACGTCAATCACAGCAACAACAAAATCATCATCATCAACAACAACAACCACAACAACATCAGCAGCAACAAGTTCGTGTTATTTGTGATGGTCGATTATATGACGAAGAATCAAGACGTCGAATAATATCACCATCACCACCACTATCTTCATCGTCATCATCATCATCATCTCATCATCATTTACATGCTCCAGATAGTAATCTACGTATTTTATCATCTGTAGCTGCTGTAGCGGCTGAAGAAGAACAAGCTGCAGCGGCTGCAAGAAAACATGCTAATAATAATAATAGTAATAATACTAATAGTGATTCCACTACATCAATTGTTACAAGACATGTTAATGTTATATCAAGTAATTTAAAATCTATTGATAATAATTATAATGGAACAATACAAAAATCCAATATAAGTGTTGCCAGTAATAATACAAATAATAATAATAATAACAATTGTGTTAATAATAATAACAATAGTAATAGTAATAATAACAGTAATACGACAATATTTCGTACACCTGTGGTATCAAGCAGTAGTAGTAATAGTATTAGTAATGGTAGTAGTATTAAAAATAATAGTAATAGTGGTGGTGGCAGTAATCATATAAATAATAATAGTAATGTCATGCGCCCACCGCCTCCACCTCCGCCACCAAAAATTAAATCAACCAGTGCTCTACAATCAAGTCAATCATCATCAGTATCCAGTGGTAGTAGTTCAATGATGAACAATAATAATAGTGAGGAACCGTCAAGTTCCATACCAGATTTAGGTAAGTGAACATTTTTTTTAAATATTTTAATTTAAAATTTTATAAATGTACTTAACTTTTTATAAAAATCCAAATTCTTCTAACAATTTACAAAATAACAATGTTCAGCTAAGAAAATATTAAAAAATATGTGAAGGGGTACAATTAGACGAGCTTCTGTTGTATCTCTCAAATTTATTTTAATCATTGAATTGGTTATTAGATGAATAATGGGCCCTTCTTTTTACAAAATTTTGTTTAAAGTCAATATAAACTATAATAAAATAAAATAAGAGTTATTAGAATTATTAAAAACAAAAAAATTTTAAAAAACGTAAATTCCGCCCCTATTCTGAATTACTTTTAGAACTTTGATCTTAAAAATAAGATCTTGGATCTTAAAAAGTTTGGCCAATTTTCTTGAAACTGCGGCTAAAATAAAAGAAGAAGAAACTTTTTGGCCTGTTTTAGTGTGAAATAAGGCAAACTATTATAACAGTTTTAGGACTGGAGATATTTAAACAGTTTTAGTTGGTCATTCAAACATTAGTTTATTATTTGCGGAAACATAATTCATGAATATTTTGAGTGCGTGGGTGGACTAAGGCGGACTAAAATTTCCATTAGGCCAAGATTGAATATGCATTCTTTAAAACCAGCATTTTTTTCTTAATATTCTCCCTTGAAACTAATGTTTAATTAGTAAATAGCTATAAATAATTAAAAATATTTTTTAACATGTGAAAGAGAAAAAATATATTGATTTCTATTATAAGTAATCCACGACTAAAATTTATTTATGTTGTTTTTATTGTTATTATTATTATTATAATGCGTGTCCTTGTCAATATTATTTAATCTAATCGATATGACAAACTAGTCATACTTATGTACATATTCGTATAACCAGTTTTCTGTAATAAAATTTAATTGACAAAGAATAACTGTAAGTGAAAAAATAATTAAAAATAAAAAGAAACAAATAAATTGTTAACTAGATAAAGAATGAGTGAAAAAGAGAGAGATAGAGAGGCGGAAAAATTTGAATTTAAAAGCAAATACACAAACATTTACACAATCATGGTTATAAATTTACGCAAATATAATTATATATATTATACAGTTGCACTATTCTACGTACATATGTACATAATATATTTTTATTCTTATACACATAAATAAGTAAGTGCAATTTTAAATATACACTTACATAAATTTTTATTTACGAATATCGCATGCAACAAGTTTAATTTCAATAGAAAAATTATAGGAAATAACTACCTTTTGTTTTATTTTTTCTTTAATATTAATTTTTCTTAGACTAAAGTGTATGGATATTAAATTGGGTGTTTTGTTTAATTACCATATCGTTATTTTAGAATAAATAATAATAGATTGAAAAAAAACAAAATAAGAACAAAAATAAAAAATTATCGCATGACTTGAATAACTAAGTATATAAAATGTTTTTCTAAAATTTTTTTTTTATTTAATTTGAATTCAATATTATACAAAGTATAAATAAAAATGAAAATAAAAAGTATATTGTTATATAACATAATTAATAAATGCAGGGTATAACAATATGTACATACATATACTATTGAACCACAATAACAAAATAGTATAGTATTTGAAAATATTGTTGTTAAATTAGCAAAAACAACTTGTTTCTTATTTGGTTTTCTAAGTATATCAGTTATAAGCATTCCTATTCTTAACTTTTGTTTTAATTAATTTGTTAACACTTACAAAATAAATTAATGCATGTACAATGCCTTTAGTATTGTAAAAATGAAAGAGAATCTGTCTATTTCTTGGATGTTTGGTTCAATACCAAATATCCATAATTTAAAATTTTGCAAGTAATTTTTGTAATTAAAGAGAGTGCTCCTGGTGGCTCTGTTTTTTTGCATAAACGCGTGCTGTAAAATTTTGTTATTCATTGAGAATTTTGAGTAAATTTGAGCGTATAATTTAACGGGCTTCATTTTTAGAGATTTTAAAGATAATATTTATCATCTTTTACTTTGGTCAAAATACTGTCAATCACAAATTTCACGTCGTTAATGCAAAAGAGATTTCTGGAAATCTCAAAGAAGATAAGAAAAGAAGAAAAGGTGTCGAATCACATGACCTGAAAGACTAATTGACAGACCTTTAACAAATCTTCGAACGTCCTTAATTCTTACTTGATTCAATAATTAAATAATTACGAACCATTGATCGTACGCCAGTTTTTTTTTTGTCGTATAGGAAGTGCATTCGAGCATCGCAAAGTGAAAAATCAAATGTAGTAGATTTAATTTTGAAAATTTTAATGAAAAATATGTAAAATATTAAAAACACTAAAGACAAAACACCAAGAATATCATGCAGTATACCTGTTCCATTTTAACCTACATCTGCATGTATTTATCTCTATCGATTTATATTGATCAAATGCTACATAATACATACAATATTTAAATTATTTACAATTGTATCTAAGTTTATGTAAGTGTTACACGTCAATTGATTTTTATTTTACTTTATTTTCAGCAATACATATACTTATATGTTGTATCGCATGTAATAAATTCAATAAGTTTAATGAAAGTTATATATTATGTATGTATTTTGAATACAAGTTTTTAATAGGTTATTATTTCAAGGTTAGGATTTAATTACAATTTTTTTATATACATAATTACATATGTACAACATTTTTAGATAAATTTATGGAAAATTGTCTGATGTCAGTTTAAGTTTAAGGAAATAGAATACGAGTATTGTTATATAAATTTAGAATGTGGCAAGAATATTATTTGATCATTGGCTGCATAATTTTAAAATTTAGAATTTTTTTTTTAAATTGACTGTACTGTAATGTTAGTCAATTTCAAAATTTTATTTTGAATGAATATGAAACAAAGCATTTTCGCAAAGCTTACCAATATTTTATATTCTTTACGACAAGAAAAAAATTCAGTAACATTTTAATAAGTTCAGTAACAGTAATGTGTAATGTTCGAGCTCGAATTTACTTGTTAATTATTAACACCCAATCAATTTTAAATTGCCGAATGGTCCGTGAAGCCATTTTGTTGCAACTATAATATATTAATGCAAAAACTCATTAACATAATGCAATAACGTGCCCCTAGGCTCTTTTTGATTAAAAAATATGGTGTAAATTGGTTACTGCTTTTATTATTAAGTTCCTTGTTTTACTTAATGCTTTTAGCACAAAAATTTTTTAAATTTCATTTAAAAATTCTTAGTTCTGACATTACAGTTGTCATAAATTATACTTTATTGAGTTCAAACAAAATTACGATACTTGAAATTTCATTTGTATTTTTTTTTTTGAAATTTTTGCAAATGAGTAAAAAACTGTAATGTAATGTAAAAAAAAGGTTAGAAGCAAAACATGTAATTTTTAACTGCAGCCGTTAATAAGAAAACCGGACATGAGCAACGACCACTTTCTATTTGCTTATAAGTGTAAAAAACAATTCATACATTTGCATATTTATTTTCAATTTTTCGGATTGTTTAAATGAATTATTAATTTTACCTTATACGGGATAAAAACCGTATTAAAAAAAATTCATTATTATGAAAATTCTTTTGTTTATCGGAACTTAAACCAGGTATTATAACACTTAAAATATACGGTCAAAAATTTTAACATTACATTCGTTATATAGAAGAGTTAACTTTGCTGAGCTTAATGTACACATTATTAACATTATTAACATAATTAATAGCAAGTATTATATAACAAAATAATTAAATTGTATATGAAAAATTCTAGTTATATATACATAAGTACATACACATTTATGAATGTATATAAGTACATAAAAGTAATATAAGTAAAATTATTATCTTTGTTTTTCATTTTATTGTTCTCATTCTATATTTTAAATAAAAATCTACTTAATTTAAAAAAAAAAAATTATTATTTATTATAACCTTTTTGAATTTTATAACAAATATATTTCCGCATTTTTAAGTTTTACACTGACTTTATATCGTATTACAAATCTTAAATAAATATAGGCACTCTAATATATACAAGAGTATCCATATATCTATATTTATTAAAAGCAATGCTTAAAATTCACTGAAATCGGTTGCACTTTATATTATTTACACATTATTATACTCATTGGATTTTTTAAATTAAGTTGTAACAAGTACATATGTACATAATATACATATGTACATATATAATATTATGTATTTAGGTTTATGCAAAAAAATAATGATCGGATAAATAGAAAATTTATTCAATATTAAAATCATATTATAAATAAGTGTGTACATTGTAGGCAATATACATAATATTTTTTTAGATAATATGTACATACGTAAAGGAATATAAAAGCTGACAAACCTATTGAACTTACTTTATTTTTACAATACATACATAATATTCAAATGTTAAATGATTAAAATGGTATTATAAACCTAAATAACGTTTTGAAGGAATTTATACACTAAAAAATTTGAAATATGAAATTATGCGCTTTTTGAAAACAAAATTGATTTATTAGTTTTAGGTCTGGGGGTAAGGGTGGCCGTTCAAATATCTCGTTATTATTTGTTGAAATATAATTTCTGACTACTTTGAGTATGTGAGAGGACTAAAACGAACAATAATTTTTGTTAGGCCAAGATTGAATATGTATTCTTTAAAACCTTCTTTTGAATTATATAAGTTTTTAAAATTTTACTCAATTTGTTGTATAAGTTTTAACAGGCTATAATCTGTTGATTGCTTGCACCTAAATAATGTTAATATTTAAACAAAGCATACTACGTACATATGTATATGCTATTATGTACATGTTTTTTTTTGTGTTTTATCTTAATTACGTATACTATATAGTATTTAACTAATTATTGACACAGATCAACTTGTGACTATTCATGTTATACACGAATGTATATCGTAATACAGTGTGTAAGGTATTGTTTTAAAATCAAATTTCACACATCGGGATTCTGACAGGAATGCCTGCGTATTCCTT